AAACGATTAGCAAACTATACACAGACTTCCGTCACGTTCGTCTGCTCCCTCCGATCCGGAAGAAGCGAAAATCCAAGTAAACGCACTCACAGAGACAGGAGGAAGGAAGGGAAGAGAATACCATGTAGTGCAAGACAAGATGGCTTTGAAGGAGAGACAAACAACGGAATCGGGCTGAAAGTAGATCAAAGTGACCTTCATGTTGCCGAAACATGAGCTGCGTGGAGCTGCAGTGGAGGGGGGGGGGGAGACTAGGCGTGTGAAGTGATGATCACTTGAGTCGGATACAGGGCACAGTGAGGTCATCTTGACGACATGCTGTAAAGTGGAGTGTGCGTGTGTCAGCAATTGTCACCGCTTCTGGAGACCGGAAATGGAAGGAAGAGCGACGGGGAGGGGTGGGCGCAATGGCAGGGGCACAATAACCCCTCAGGTGGCGATGGAGTCGCGGGCTGGGGAAGCCCGTACGTCCGCCACACCGTCACCCTTGGCCCCAGGGCAGGAACAGTAGGGTGCTAACGGGAACGACGATGAGGCAGGCGGACAGTCTGACTCCGGCTCATTCCCCAAAGGCTCTGCCTCCACGGCTGCCTCGTCTGTTCCACCTCCACCTTCATTCTCAGCCGGTATCCCATCCTCGCTCCCAGAAATGTTCTTATGAGAATCAAACTGAGAGTCATCAGCCGGCTGGGTGGTTTCGCTTTCTTCCAGAGCCAGGGTCGTTTGGTCATCTGCAGAGACTTCCAATAGCGTGGAGGCGAGGCTCTCATCGAGATCGGCTGGTGGAATTGGAGGGGCGAATGACTGACAGTGGCTGGCCTCATAGGGGTTGGGTGAGCTGGTTAATGGTGCGGGAACTGAGGTACACACTGTCACTTCTCGCTGTCGCATTTCATCACCTTTGCTGCCCCACTTACTTTCAAAATATCCATGCATAAAGTGGCCAGCCCGACCAATGTCTGAGTCATCTTCATTGAAGACTTCGCAGTTTTGGAAAATCAGCCGCACATCACAAAGCCATTCGTGCAGGGAATAGGTCCTTCTGCGAAGAGGTAATTATAAATACACATCTAAGTCGACTAGTTGGACCGCCCGCCAAAAAACGTGTGATCACTCTTTTTGGACATAAAGGTAGGGTTGTGAGTATGCTGAATCTAAAGGCTTTGAAGTGAATTAACGAAAAAGGGATCACACCAGTTAGCCAAAACAAATTTTACACTAAGCATTCACATACATAAATCGAAATTATTTTCTGAAGTGAGTTATGTAGACACATAATGCGCACAGTCAGAGCCTAAGTTTTCTGGTTGCGTGTATTTCGTATTTGCATTCTGTATCAGTTTGTTCGTTTAGAACTAGAGGGGACCGACTACACCGTTCAAGTATGCAAGAAAGTTACATCGAAAATTTCCCACACATGACCATGTTCAATGCAGTTCTTCCACGTAAGTTACGGTGTTTATTCGCGAATATTACAGGGTGATGAAATATCATATCATTCGAAAAAGCTGTGGAGTAGAATACAAAAAGAAATTGAATGGTTAACAAATAACATTTCTTCACTAAAATGGTAAAATACAAAGGCAATGTTATATACGGTAATGCTATTCTGTCTATGCTACTAGCCGCTGTGCGGCTGCTGGCGGGGCTAGAGATTGTGCAGTAACGAGATCGCTGCTAAAGTTATGAATGATTCTGGTGGAGATTACCAAGGATGACTGAAACCGTTTTTGATAGAAAGCCTACCCTCCACTGCGTATTAGCTGGTGCAAGACCCTATATTGATCAGTGGTTGTAACCCCACCTAAGCAGTCGTTTCCACTTGATAGCACAGTGAAGTGACCGGGTTCACGCAAAATGAGATTCGGCACATGTGAACGGCTGACGAAGCAGAATCCTAGACCGGCGGCAAAACAAATAAGTCGAGGTTGAGGAACGAATTACTTGCATGTGAGCCCGCGTACAACGTCATTCCGCGATGCGACTTTGTTAAATTCGGCGAACGGACATTCAAATCCAGCGTAGATGTTAACAAACCGCCGAAACAAGCAAAATATGTCCGAATACTCGGGCCTCTACCCGGGATTCGCAAACAATAAACGCTGAGGAAAGTTGACCAAAAACGTAATCCAAAACCGGATTCAGAGCTCTTAGAGGTTAATTCGGATAATGAAAAGCGAGTGCAATCCCCCTGAGAAGACAACCGTCTATATGGAGTGGGCACTACGCAGTTTCTTTAGCCACATTATGGACCAAAAGTAAGAATAAGAGGTAACCGGCCTCTAATGGAGCTGAAATACCGGAAAGGGAAGTAGAAGCCTCCCCAAATGAAAAAGCGTTGAACAAAAGCTGACATCCATGCAGCCCCTAGCGGTTTTGTCAACAACATGAACTAGCTAAGAATGTTTACCTTGGGAACAAGAGCAAGCTCTGAGTGCAGTTGTCTTAGTGTATACTATAAAATCCATCAGAGCCTCTTCGGTAACTCACAGTCCAAAATAATTTCCTCGGATAAAAGACTCCACATCATCAGATGGAAAGGGACCTGACTGACTAACGTGATAAAAACTAACGAGGTAAACATCGAAGCGTATGGGGTGCTGCATGTTGGCATGTGAGTTCGATGGGCAAGCTAATAGTGAGTTAAGTAGTTTTCTGAAAGGGGTATACAAGAGAGAGAGAGAGGGAGGGGAAAAGGGTGGAAGAGTGTCTGGATCGCAGAAACGAGGGAAATGATGCTGCATTCACTAACAGGTTCAACTAATTGCATCGTATTTACGCGAGCGTGATGTGTCCAATCTCCACTAGTTAACTTTCTGAAAAAGCTCAGAAATACCTGGAAAGGCAACTTCGACTGCAACGTGACTGGCTTCTTCAAAATAAAACTCGTCAGCGAGCATTAACAACGTTTAGGCCCCCTAAAATCCGTTAACAGCACTCACAGAAAACAGAACGGAAGTTCATTGGCCGCCAAAAACGAATCGTGTACTCGACCAGGTTGTGCCACCACGACGTGAAAAGGGGACACAAAATTTTAAAAAATGCAAGTGCAAAATCCTACATCTCTGCTAAGTAGAGAAAGCAGCGGAATAAATGCAATAAAACTTTAAGGACTTCTAAAATATTTTGAGTGTCGAATTAAGAGAAGTTATTGCATATTAAGACAAATCGTAAGAAAAGGAACAATAGGGACATTTTATCAACTTGGTTTGAGGTGAATCTCAGAAGGTAAATAATCTGCCTGAGTTCATTTGGTTTGTATTTGACATTTGGCTACTTTTTAAATCTCCGAAATTTGAGATAAGACAGGAAACCGAAGTCAATGAAAACGTTAATGAACGGAGGTGTAAGGCGAGTCTTCTATAAAACGAAATCAGAAATTTGTTGGATCTGGTAGTTTATCCGGATCTATTCTCAAAGAAATCTTTGTCGAGATCGCTGATCATCTGATATCTCGCTTTGAATTGTCAATGAGAATAGGCCCTTTGCCTTCGGGGTTGATGACAGTAAACGTGTTACTCGTAGACAAAGAAGATAGTCGGCTGGTTGCAATATTGAATGGGGCACATGGGCTTGACGTATTTACGTTTCAGATTTCTACGGGCTCTTTTAAAGAAAAAATACAATATAATTCTCTGGCAATATCAACACAGTGAAGGATTTCGATGAGGGCACTCCTGTCTCACGAATCTTCCAACCTCTTCGAATATGGATAAAAGCACTAAAAGGGCGCTTCGACATAATGCCGCGTACATCGGTTCCCAAAAATCGTTATCGGTACTTCGCATCAACGTCTGTTATGCAAACCAGAAACCCTGATTATCAGGGAAGACTTTCCAATCGAAGAGCTATTCTATCTGATTCGAGACAACAGGCCTGCTTCGGATTAACAGTCGAAATAGATACATGTGATAAGCTGTATTCCTCAGCAGACCGTTCTTAGCCTCATACCTTTTTTCCAGTTCAGCCTGTACGCTAACGACAATCGACTGTGGCAAGATCATGCTCACCGATGCTGTCAAGCTCCGGCAAACCAAGAGGAATCCGTATGACCAGGTAGCTTATCAAAGTGATTTCCACTGTCTAAAGAGCTGGACTAAACGGTGGGGTCGGACACAGACCCTCAAGTGCTACAGCTGACCTCGCGCTAAATTCAAGAGGGTTCTCATTCCTTTGTCCTAAGTTTAATCCTAACACCAACACTGACCCTCATAAACGCAGTCCTAACCCTGACACCAACCACCCTGGAATCTACGGCAAGACCACGTGTAATACCGGGAATCCATATTCCCGTGCCTAACCAACGACTTTTACCTGACCTAAATGCAAATAACAACAATCAAGCCAAGAACGAGATCATATTTTTGAGCGATTTTCAACTGCCTTTAGGGACTACACAAAAGAAAACAGAGGTTTTAATACGGAACAATTATGAACCTCCAATGCCTAAGTGCAGTGACATATCCCGCGGAGTGTCACACAATATCAAATGGTCGTTCATAACTATTGAAAAAGATCTGTTTGGCAATTTTTCGAAACATTCGTCCTTCGGTGGTGGATACACCGTTAATCTGTTTGAGCGTAGCTATCTAAGAACACTTAGCCCAGTAAGATACCAAACTATAGGAACCAGATATAAGTGTACCAGCTTGGTGAGAACTCACTGAAAACGTGCACGTGTTTGTCACCATTTGTATCCTTGGAGGAGAATCCTTAAAATTGTGCTGCGTCGAGCACCAAAGTCAGTGTGACGGCTGAAAACCGCTATTACCATTTCTACCTGTC